CAGCAGCGAGATCAAGGGAAAGGCCACCCCTCCCTTCCAGTTCAAGAACCCAGTTGAAACTGTAACTGGAGGTCCCAGCCCGTAGTGCTGAAAGACTCCTGCCCCTCTAGTAGCCAGCCCCTGCAGCACGCATGCTCACTCTGGCAACCAAAGCAGTGTCAACCAGCTCGGTGGGATTCCAGATGACAACCTTGCTGGCAAAGGTCAGAAATTTCCTCATTGCAAATTATACTACTTTTTCCATATGCTTTAAAGGCATAAAAAAAGTTATGCTGAAAATACTAAGGTTGTGAGATCATTCAAAAAATGTAAAATAGTATCGTCGACTTCAACTCTCAACACCTTCTCCCTTTAACCCTCACCACAGATATGAAATTAAGCACTCTGCCGTGTGGGACAGGCACCATAAGCTCACAGTGAAGACTATTCCAGACTTGTGTCTACTGTATCATCTCCAAAATGCATTACTATTTCAACAACCCTGCTCATTTTACTATAGTGATAGGTAATGGTCTCAGAGAACTGAAGCCTGTCAAGGATCTGTATACTAACATGGCCTTTGCCCAGTGTGGGTACTTAGGGAGTTTCAGTGACATTCACATTAGAACACAGGGGGTTTCTCCCGTGACAAGTAAACACTGATACAGGCTTGTCTTGATTACAACAGATCGTAATCTCTCCGATTAAGAACATTCATTTAGAGCAGACTCTAAACTGACATTTCAATCACTGACCTAACTGTTAGAAATACACCCATCACAAGCAGGATCACAGTAGAGGGAAAGTCTGTAAATCACGCTGCTCACTTGTCTCAGACAGTTTGCTAGTCAGCAGAGGCAGTACTTGAAGACATCTAGTCATGTGTTTGCACAAGACCTAAGCTACAGAATTAATGCCAATAAATATATTATTTTACACTGTAAACCAACTAATTTTAATCAAAGCTATGGATACATTACCATTTTTAAATGTAAATTAATTTTCTGAAAAAGTGCCCAAGTGCTGTGGAAGGCAACTATCTGCCAGCAGTTTCCATATTACACACACAGAGACTCACAACAACCAGCTTCAATGGGACTCAAACGCCTGGTGTGTTAAAAGCATCTTTGAGAATTCTACTTGGTGTCTCTTTGCTTCAGCTACTAAAATAGCTTTTAAAAAAAGTTTATTGAAAGCTACACATCCCCATTGCTTTTAAAACTAGACCTTGTTATTCACTGATCTAATTATAAAAGGCCTGTTAATGAAGTTTCCTGAGTTTTTGGCAAAACTAGATTCTCAAATTTGAGACTACAAGATCATAGATGGAAAACAAAGAAAGTTACTGAAGAAGGGAAATCAAAATATTTTAAAGTTTTCCATGCATAGTATCGGTACTTATACATAATTTATTGCATTGTAAGGAGCAAGTACAGCTACTTAATACAAAGACACTTCTAAAACACAGTTTGACCTTGAAATATGGAAATGTTCCTAGCTCAGTGCTGTAATTAAAATCTGATTAAGTTTAAGTGTACGCAGGTACACTTTCGGATGGCTGCAAGTGGTGTTGATTTAGTTCAACACAAGCACTACCATTCCAAATTCAAAGTGACAGTTGTCTATCTATAGCATACCAATAAAGGTAAGCATTTCATTAGTTAAAAATATCCTTTTCTCTTTTTTTCCCTCATATACATGACTATATTTCATATTCATAATGACCAGAGCTTAGCAGAGTACCTTCAGCCCAACTGCAAACTGAAGGTAGAAAATGATCAGGTTCATTTGTCTCTCCACAGTACAGTTATCTCATGGTATTTCAGATGCTGCCATTCATGGTGTACCAATGGTTACAACATGGAGCACCTGCTAAAATTTACTGCACAAAACAAAGCTGCAATGTTACTTTGCACATCACTGGCAGATTTATATCTTAGATTTCAGGGATCACTTATTGTAAAATTAAGCTAAAACAGATGAGGAAAAACCCTGAAGGTTGGTGCCTTTATTCAATGCTATGCAAAAGAGAAAAACAGCTCTTGGAGAAATACTATAGACTGGAAAGTCACAGAGCCTCCTCCAAGGCCTAAAACAAAAGGGCAAGAGGCAAGCTTTACTGCCTGCAACAAGTGAAATTCTATTTTTCATATATTGGTTGAACACAGGAACCAGTTCCAGCCAGCCAGTGGAACCTCTACCCTAAGAGACCTTCAAAATTTGACCAAACAAACCCCAGACCAACCAGCTCTAACTCTGTTTGCAGTGTTTAGATTGACGCTAGCACCACTGTTGTACGATTGTCACTAAAACCCAGTCAGAGAATTACGTACTGCAGCCCAGTGATAACCTGGTACCACTGTAACAAAGGGCTAGTCAGGCAAGAGAGTACTTTACAATTGATCCTACTTTGTCTTAATTTAAGGTGTATTACCACATTCTCTTTAGTACTGATCTAAGCAGGTATGTTTTATTAATCTCAGGTACTCTTTACATTTTGCATATATCCATTAAAACTCCCATCTTCTCTGACCACAACATTAATTCCTATTATCAAGGTTTTTTTTTTCTCCATTTATGAGAAAAAGCAGCATGCTTTTGAATAAGACTCTCAATGCCCTCTTGTTGTTTGGAGGGGTTTTTTTTGTCCAAACTTTTCTGTTCTTTACAAAGAATTTTGATTGCATAAAAATCTTAAGCTTCTCATTTTTCTAATGTTCTGTTAAAGCAGCAATACCTTCACTTTTATTAAAAAGACATTTTGCAACTGATCTCACACCAAGCTCCCCAATGTTCCTGCATCAGGCAAAAAATCAGTTTTGCTCATGAAAACAAATACAACTGGCACTTCTCAAACACTAATGTTTATCTGCAGAACTCTCCAAAATGACACCACCATCATTAACACAGAAAAGCCAAGTAATTTTAGGCAGATTTGCAGCCATTCTGGAAGTTAGTACAAGAGGTCAGTGACTGCCAAAACCAGAAGAAGGGATCACATCCTTCTCCTTCAAGTGCCAAAAAAAATTTGTGATTGTTTGTTTCAGATCCAGTTGCTTCCTTGTTTGTAGATAAATGGCTAAGTAGTTGTGTGGTTTCACAACATTAGGAAGCAGTTTCATGTATTTTTATATAGTGCACTGGAGGAAACACCAGGATAGAGCTGTTCATTTTTATTATTATTATTTTTTCTTACATGCACTGGATCTTCAGTTCCTATACAAGCAGACAGTCTGAATTCTATTCTACATTCAATAAAACCCTAAGCTGGGGAACTACTGTTTGAGCATTTGTTTGCCAATGAGACATTAAGGATGCATCCCCCACAATTTAAAAATACTCCTCTTCTCTCCTACCACACTTCCATGTCATCCAGCAGTTTAATTCAAGGTTCAACTTGATGCTATACTTTAAAGTTAGTCATCAGCCACACCACTGCATTGGGAGGTTTTTATGTTAGCATCTCATAAGCATATCAAACATGGCAACTGATTAGCACCAGTCATGCACTTATGTCATACAACTGGAATATATCAGCTATACAGCATGGTCAATTCAATGTGTTTTCTTGTCAGTAAATGCCACAATGTATTTGTCCAGTTAAGTGACCTTTTATTACAGTACTTCACACTTACAGAGAACACTTAAAAGGAAGGAAAGTCATGTTCAGGTACACCACAGTCAGAATCTTATATTCTTGGGCCATGATAAAATTACTAGAAAAGTTACAAATATTGTCTCCAGGCATGGCATAGCTTTTATGTTTTGTTTTCAAAGCCCAATAAGCATTGTTAGCGTATCTAGCAGTTCAATAAAAGTTCAGAAAGCTACAAAACCTTACATACACTTGAGCTTTCAGCAGTAGGAAGCTTACTTGGTTATATTCCCATATAGATGAAGCCTATAAATAACAGTGTACATACAATAACAGGATAAACACAACATACCATGGAGGGAACACAAGAGCATACAACACTTAAGTCTGATGTCATTAATTCTGTCTTATAGAATAAAAATACTGTCATCTAGGTTTCTTCCATTGCAAGTAGATTTATGACAGACAATATACTTAGTGTCTCCATCCAGTCATGAGCAAAAGTCATTTATCCCTTCTTTCCACCACCTATTATTTACTTCTGTGTCTCATCTGCAGACCATTGCTTAGGAACTCTTAACATTTTAATGAGCACAGCTATCTGAGACAAACAGATTCTTTTCTGGGCTTTGAAGAGATCATTCTCCAAAGGTTTTTCTTCCACTGTCTCATTTTCTTCATTTTGCTTTAGCCTGACCTTATAATAAAAGAGGTTGATCTTGTCACAAGAGATTATTCTGAAAGAGCTGCTTCCTTTTTTGAGATCAAAATTCCACTGAACAGAACATCCAGACAAGTCACCAGTTTCACTACTCTCCAGCAAGAAGTATGGAGATTGATACACTAATTTGTTTGGGTATTGAAGGCTAAATAGTCACCCCAGAAGGTATGACAAAAAAAAAAAAAAACAACCTAACAAACGCCAGTGAATAGCATCATATCCACTCTGGGCCCAAATCAGTTTTTGTTAAGAAATCCCATTTCATCACCATTGTTTCAAAAGAACTGTTCTGAGCAAAGGATCCATATCACCAGTTACCTCAGAAAGAAGAAATCCATAGTATCAGTGATACAGAGAATTAAAAACTAAAGGCAGATGTACACGCACAAGGATGCTACCACTGCATCCCACAACTTTTAAGAGCAACATCCTTTACTGGCACAAGAATCCCCCAAAAGCTTATTTGCACTATATCCAGTCATATGTACTGAGGGCCAGGTCATACCATGCATTTCCTCAAGTTTAAGGGAGGTGGAGGAGAGCAAACTATATACAATATTAATACAGAACATAAAATACCTCTATATTTCTAAGGAGACTGAAATTTTCTCCCTTTTCCTAACCCTTTAAATATCAATTTTTTCTCTGGATCAATTCTTATAAATCAAAGCAGTCCTGGACATTTCAGTCTAACAGCAGACTTACCTAGTACAGTGTTCTCTCCAACAGAAGCCAGTAGGAATCCCTAGAAAAAAAAAAGGTAAGGATGAGTGTGTTTCACCATAGTCTCAAACTTCACATTCCTGGTTCAAAAGGACTGAGTTTCCAAGCAGCTAGATTTCTCTGCAATATACATTTCTTTTTGAACCCCTGAAAATTCATACAGCTAAAATATTCTGTGCCAGTCAGTTCTGTGGTTCAGCTCTACACTATGCAAAAGTATCAGGTTTTTATTTTTAACTGCCATCTGATAATAAGGAGGAGGAAGAGAATAAATGAAATAACTGAAGAGGAAAACACTTTCTTCCTGTTGATTTTCCATGACACTTGTGGTTATTTTGTATAGATCCGCCTTGCTCTCTCAAGCCAAATTTAAAAAAAAAAAAAAAGGCAGATAAGTGCTGGCTTTGATCTTAAAAAACAATACAGAGAAAGATAAAGTCCACTGTACTTTTTTGATACTGCATAAACCACAAGTACTTACATTCAAGAGGAAGGCATAACTGTATAATGCCACAGAATTCTCTATTCTTTACTGATAACTCATACCACACTTCTTCAATACTACCTTGCACTGGTTTGTCATTTTAACAGAACAATTAGTTCAGAAGGGTTTATTGCTTACTTTCTTTTTTTTGAGTGGAAGAAAATTAGGAAAAAAACCCCAAAACTATATGTTGTAGCAAGCCTGCTTTTCCCTTCATTACATCAGCAGGCATAAAGACACGAGCATCTCTCTAATAAGAAATCTCCTGAACCAAGCGATGGGATACACAGTCACTCACCCAGAAGAGAAAGCTCCCTTAAATCACCATTGTTTCTTCTTCAGTGACCACTCAGTGACTGTAATTATTACCTGTACTTACCAAATCTGCATTCTAAGAGGACAAGAATAAAAGAGCAGAGGTAAGCTAGCCACTATTAGGACCTCCTCCCAGAACAGGAAAAATCAGAGAGGTTTTCTTCTAGAGTTTACCAAATCTTCAGGCAAGAAGCTTTACAGAATTATTTTAGTCAAGATCAGTTTTATGTCTACAAATTAAGTAACAAACTTATCAGTTAAGTAAAAAAATTAATTTACAGTAAGCAGAAAAAAAACAAAGACCTATGTAAAACCAGGCTCAAAGAGCACTGGAAACTTCTGTGAGGCTCTAATAACAAACTGCATATAGAAAAATATCTGATCTGCCACATTGGCTGCATCCAAATCCCAAGTAAATGAAATGAGTTTGTTTTATGCTCTGACAATAAACGCATTTCAGTCGTCTTATGTCTTCAGCAATATATTTTGCCTTTAGAAAAACAGTCCTATTAAGACTTACAAATCCCATTTCCAATCTTGAACTTTGCATCAAATTTGTAAAAAGACATTTAGATAAGATATGCACAATGTAAACAAAGCAAGGACAGCAACCTGATTTCACAATACACAGTTTATTTCAATACTTTTAATCAGTGAGAAACTAAGTGAACAATACACAATTCACAATACAATCTTTGTAAAAGCTGGAAAAGATATTAAGGTTCATGTTAAGTTCAATGTACTCTATTTTTAACTTTAGTCAAGTCCCTTCTCATTAGCAGTAACTTAATATTGGAGAAACGATTGGAGCAGCTAGGAAGTTAGATGTAGAAATTTATGTTTTTAAATATAAATTTTAGCACAACAAACAGTTACTTAGGCCTGGACACCTAATATAATCCTCCATTGTCAGAATATGCCAAATCAAGGCTTACAAATAGAATGTAGCAATTGATGCTTGTTATTTTTATTTTATGATAAATGTGTGCTTCATATGTTTAATTCCAAAATTAAAAAGCAAAAAGCACACCAAAAAAAAATAAACCCAAAAAACCAAATCCACAAAACCAAACACACACAAGAAAAAGCACCCCAAAACCCCACACAGCAAACCAAACAAGTTCTGGAACCCATTTTGCTCCAATTCACACACTAGAGTAGTCTTCACATCCATATAGTTTGACACTAATGGAAGAATTCCTTAACCTACCCTTTAAATAGTGAAATTCAGAACACTGCTGTAAGACCTGCTGAAGATACTTTTGAAAGCATTTCACAAGACCAAATCAAACCTGAATCTCCTGACTGACTTACTGGGAAAAAGCTGAGAGTTTACATAATAGTGAACTGAAAGACAATGCCTTTGAAAACAAGCCCAAGACTTCTGCATTTCAAGGATGCTAACAAAGAGGGAAGAGGCATGACCATCTGCTTCTCTTTAAGAGATAACAAACTGGTTTTGAGCGCTCCTGTATGTGTGAGCACCTGTGTCACATGACAGATAACCTTGTTTGGAGGCCAGAACTCTTTCAAGAAGTCTAGGGCATTAAGAACTACCTGTTTTTCCAAGAGACAGAGTTAGCAGTAGCAGAGACCATGGTACTTTCATATGCATATGATATGACACTGAAATCTTTCAGACAAATGCTAGCTAAACAGTGAATTAGCAGCCATCTCCATGTTATTTTACTCCATGGAAGCAGTAACTTACTTTCTCCAAGAGGATTAAACTAACTTCTGCCAATTCTGACATCAGTAACTTCTCTGCTATGTCATGGTAAATTGTAGCTAATACAGAACTTAATATTTCCAAGATGACAGTAATATCTTTGGAGCTAGAGCAATAGAGGAATGTTGTGGTGAACTCTGCCTGGAGACAGTTTAGTCACATCTGGATACATGGCACCAAAACCAAGATAAACAAATTATCCCGAATGGAAAACAACCAAAGGATCTAATTCTAGAAGCTGTATTTTCTGCTTATCTAAAAGTTATTAAAGCACTTAAGTATTCTTTGTTTTATCTGACTCTTGATCTGTGCTTTGTCCTTCTGTTTCTCTAGCTTTTAGACAGAGATAGGATCTAGGACTGCAAGCCTTGAGTGCATGGAGTGAAACAGATTCAAGATAACTCCACATTCTAGCACACTTTGTCAAGAAATTCTTGCACTTAGAATGAGGAAAGAACTGCTAAGATATGTGCCAAGGAAAAAAAAAAAAAACCTCTAAGTCGATTACCAATGCACGTAAAGAACTTTACACCTTAGGCTTGCTCTAGACTTGCTTCCAAAAAAGTGCCAGTGGTACTTTTTGTTTGGGGTTTTGTTTTTGTTTTTAACCTAGCCCTTTTGGTCAAGTCTACTAGGTGTATGCTCTCATAAAAGAGTTAAGAAAAGTTTTAATATTAAAGCACTTCATCTGCTCTGCAAAACATGTTTACAATATTGTTTTATGTAAAAAATTTCACTGCAAGTTCCTCCAACTATGAAATACCAGCTCTCAACTGACGGATGGTGGCCAATCTTGTACAAAAAACTTAGGCAACTGCTTCATGCCTCCTTAGGCTCTTGAACAGAACACTGAAATGCATGAGGACTACCCCATGCACAGCATACAAAGTCAGAGCAGTTTCCAAAATCCCCACTTTGGAGGCAAGGCCTTTAATTTAGCATGAAATGCTAAAAATGCTACCTTAATATACCAGGCAAGCTAGAACATGCCACTTTTCAGCTGTATTCTTTTGTGGTGTTTTGTGGGTGGGGCTTTGTTTTGGTTTTACACTCACCAATAGCCCTAGCTGTATCTTTGTTTCAACTGATACAGCTAAGTCTCTCCAGGGCTGTTACTAATCTTTTTCCACTGTTGATGCTATGGAGCATATGTAACTCTAGAAGACAAACATTCTATTTCATGCAGTTATTTCTGTTGGCAGGGTGGGATTTTTTTGTCGTTTTTTAACAATAACAATATATTAAGACCTGAAGTGCCTTGCTAACTTTCTCTGGGGTGGATGAAAAGCCTGGAAGATTCGCAAGTTTTTTTATTATTCCAGAAAAAGCAAGTCTAGACTGGTTTGGAATTACTAAATAGCAAGGATCCATAATAGAAGAAACTTTCAGACAAGTGAGTATGACTATAGGAAAGTACCTAACCTTTTGTTCAAAATATTACATAAGAAAGTTGAAACAACCTTACTACTGCAAAGAAAAATGCTTCTGAAGTGGCTGAGGCCATTAGTGTAGCTAAGCTTGGGTCTATTTTGGTGATAGCCAGTAAATATACTTGGAATAAAATACCACCCTTGTCTAGGATCTTAACTCACCTGGTTTTGTTAGAAGCTATCAACCAGCTGCATCCTCAAGCAATCTCTAACAGCTGTGGAAGATGAGACTGTTTCTCTCATGAGCTCTTGGACAGCTCTTAAATAGGAACAGGACACTGTAAAACACCATGAGAAGCTCAGGTGTAAGGCTGACCCACAAATCTAGCCTGCTCACTTTTGGAAAACCCTCTTGAGTGCACATAAAGTGAAAAACAAACCTGATTTTTCTCTTAAACAGATAATTATATCTGGTCCACAATGGTTTCTTTTAATACAATTTGCATGAATAAGCCTTAGGTAGCTTTGAAGTTACCTTTTACCAGCAGTGTAGACAAGGTGTTGCAGTCAGCAAGAATTTAGTTTACAATCTGGATAAACGTCTCCTGAAGGTCAGGACAGCACACAGCCCAGTGCAAAGCCCTGCCGTGGTAGCACAGGTAGGGGATTGCACAGACAGCTCTGGGGAGATATGCCTGTACCAAGCAAGTCCCTGTAGTAGTCGGTGATGGAAATACCAGCCCTGCGGGGCTCAAACTCTCATACCACCCCACCTGCAATTTGTTTGTGGCCTGTGTAAGACTGGTTATTTTGCAAACAAAACGCTTGTATATGCCACTACTTCGTATCATGTGGAATTACCCCAGAGACCTCTGTTCTGGGTCACTGGTGAAAATTATTCTTTTGTTCTGGCTTCACACTATAGCAATGGATACACTAGCATTTACTGTAATGCTACAATGTGTGGTAAAATTTGAACAGACTGCTTACTTTGAAGAAAATGATACAGACACTTAACAGGACTGCCTTAAAAACCAACCTTAATAACACAGAGATTTTCCTTAACTCCCTCTTACCAACTATTTGAATGCACAACTCTTTTCCATCCTCTTACTAGGGTTTAG